GAGCCTCTCTATGCCGGTCAGGGGTTCCAGCCTCGGGAGCCCCGAGGGGCAGTTCTACCCTGCCCTGGAGGTTGCTATGAGTCAGCATCGACTGGATGGCAGAGGTTGTTGCTGAGAAAGGCTTCTAGGCTTGGGTCCAGTGCCTCCGAGGTGTGTGCTGAGGTTAGAGTTCCTGATGGGGGCCGGGGAAATGGCTTCATAATCTCTGAGCATGCTGGGGACAGCAGAAGCTGCCACGTGCTGTGTGCTGCTGCTGCTGCTGCCTCGAGGGGTTGGCCAAGCCACAGAAAGCCACCCCCCCCTAGTGGACAGTTCTGGGGATTCCCTGACGTGTTGGTTGTTGTCTACTAAGAGGGGGTTCTGGGGACTGTAGCTCTTTACAGGAGTAGAAAGCCCCTCAGCTTTCTCCCACTGAGCCTTGAACTGCTGACCTTGTGGTTAGCAGCCCAACTCAACACCACTACGCCACCAGGGCTCCTTGGCATTTGTACAGGAGGCAGGGAAGCAAGCAGTCCGGCTGCGTTTGTAGGTTTTCCCCTCCCCTCCATTTGTGGGTAAGTAACAGGAATGCTGCTCCAGGTGCTGCTGCCGCAGGTGGGGGGAGTTTTGACATAATATGTTGAACACCTATCTAACATCACCCTTCTCTGGGTCAATCTGCTGCACAAGACCTCTTTAACGTGTTGAAAAGCAAGGATGTTCCTTTGAGGACTAAGGTGGGCTTGACCCAAGTCATGGTCTTTTCAAGCGCCTCATCTGCACATGAAAGTTGGACGCTGGGTAAGGGAGACCGCAGCAGGATCGATGCGTTCAAATGGTGAGGTCGGTGCAGAGTACTGAAAATACCACGGGCTGCCGAGAGAACCAACACACCTGTCTTGGAAGAAGGGCGGCCAGCATGCTCCTGAGAGTTAAGGATGGCGTCTCACGTATTTTAGACATGTTGTCAGGAGCGGCCAGTCCCTGGAGAGGGTCATAGAAAAAGCGGAAGGCTTTTGACGAGATGGGTTGACACAGTGGCTGTAACAACAGGCTCAAATACAAGAATGGAGCAGGACCGGGCTGTGTTTTGTTCTGTTGTAAGGAGGGTTGTAGGGTTGTAAGGAGTGTTACCTTACAACAGCAACAACACAACAAACTACACAACATGTCCTGGATCAACTTCGTGAGTAGACGGCCCTTTCCCCTCTGAGTTTGCCCAGGCAGTATGGGTCTCCTCTCTGCACTGCCCACCTCACTCCCGACTGGTAAGACAATTGTGTCGCACGGTCCGTTTGTCTTTATTGCTGCGTGCTCAGGGCCTGAGATAGTATAAGACATTCCTCCAGTAGTTCAACAAATCATTGTAGAATGACTGGCATGTGCCAGGCCTGCAGGGAGGGGGCCGGACAGGATCACCAACACCGCATCTGCCACCTGGAGCCTACATCCTAGTCCGGGGGGTGGGGGTGGGGATAACAAACATGTAGTACTGCAAGTGGTCAGAGTTCACAGCGGGCAAGGAGGCAGGGTCGGGGGAGAGCTTGGGGATCTCCCAGGTTTTCTCTGGCCCTGTGGTGCTTGCACAGTGACCTGATGCAAGGAAGCCATCGTATGTCTTGCGGCTGGCCATGAAGCAAGGGAGCAGGCGGGAAGGGCTGGGGAGGTCCTTTCTGAGGAGATACATGTGATTGTCAATCCTGGCTGTCTGACTGTTGACTCATGAGACACCTTCATCGGGGCCACTCCTCCCTGCTCCAGCCAGGGGTCTGGAGTTCTTACCTCTGAGCCTGCACCGGCTACACCTCAGTGTCGGCCCTCACCCATGGCTAGCATGAGCCCTCTGGGCCGGCTCCCGGCAGTCTCTCCTGACCTTTGCAATCCTGACAGGTGCAGAGCCCGAGACTGGGGTGTGTCTGTCTGTCTGTCTCCACTAGGCTACATGCTGCGTTGCTCTGCCCCAGCCCCTGGCAGGAGGCCTGTCACATGGCAGGCAACCACTTGGGAAGGGCTGACTCTGTAGCCTGCTTCCCACCCAGCCTGGAGGCCCCCAAACCACCGAAACTCAATGCCAGCAAGTTGACGCTGACTCAGTGACCTTAGAGGATGGGGTAGAATGGCCCCTGTGAGTTTCTGAGCCGGTAACTCTTTATGGGAGTAGAAAGATGCGTCTTTCTCCTCCCGAGGAGTGGCTACATGGTTCAGAACTGCTGACTGTGCGGTTGACGGCCCAGCTCGTAACTGCTGCCCCACCTCTCTGGGAGCAACAGTCCTCAGCCTTGGCGGATCTCCCCCATGAGCTCCAAAGCAAGCCCCTCCCCGCCCAGATAAACCAGCCACCGAGTTGTCATTTTTCTAAATTTTTGTTTATTTTATAGCAATTTTCATGATCAGAGAAGTAAATGACACATTTAAAAACCTTCTCAGGGCCAGAGTATGCCAGAGCACTTACAAACACAAGGTGGGGGGGAGAGGGGTGTCTCGGCAGCAAAACAGGAGGTCTGGGGCTGGGATGTACCCAGGACCCTGCCTGGGTCCTGAGCCACCAGGACTGTCCCACGAGCTGCAGTGTGGGCCCTGGAGCATCAGGTGGCTGTGGGGTTCTGCTCAGTGGGACCTGGTGGGAGACCCACCACAGCTAGACCTGTGATTGTGATTCGGCCTCCTACCTGGGGGTGGTGGGGCTTCTCGCCCCACAGGCCAGCTCTTAGGGGCCTCTGGGAAGCACCGAAGGACAGGGGGCAGTGTGAGGGGCACAGGGGGAGGGGGGTCCTGGGATGCAGGTGGGGGATGGACCCAGCCTGCTTGGGATGGGACAGACACGCACATGCTCGCACACAGAAATACACACGGTACCTTCACAGAATTGCTATGTTTTTTTTAACTTTTAAGTCTTCCTATCTACGTTGTTATTAGTTTTTTGCTATTTTTCTTCGACTGTGACATAAACTGAGGTAAACATCTGTGACCAACAGCTCTCCTAAGGGGCACGGGTCCCAGCCCACCAGTGGAGGTGGCAGCGGGAGGCCTGCCCTGGAAAGGGCAGCTCAGGTCTCAGGCCCGCCCCTGTTGCCAGGCTGGCCGCTGCCCGTCTCTGGGCCTCTTAGAGGGGGAGTGGGGGCTGGGCTACACAACTACAATCCCTTCCCAACTTGCACATCCTAGATACTACAAGGAAGAGCGCTCCCCAACGGGGTCTTAACAGAGAGAGGGGGGCGCACGGAGACGTCTACTGTGGAATCTCTCATCCTTCTTATTGCAGGAGAGATCAGGATGTTGAGAGGCCTAAGGCAAAAGGAGAAGTCCAGGTTGGGAGAGGTGGACCCGGACAGGCTCCAGGTGGGCCAGGGGCAGTGATGGGGGGCCTTCTCTGAGGACTGGCCCGTGGCAGGAGGGGGTTTGCTACTTGCCTGGCATGTGGAGGGCCCTGATGCCTGCTGGGGGTGGGGCTTGAGGGGCGGGCACACCCAGGAGGATGGGGGCCAGGCCCTGGGATACCGCACACTTTGTAAACTGGGCCCGGGCAGGGCAGGGGGACCTATAGCCCTTTTGCGCGGTGGAAATGAGGGGGTGAGGTGGGGGCTTCAGGCCTGAGGGTGAGCAGTGCCCCCTCTAAGCCAGCCTGGCCATCAGGAGCCCCTTAGCTGCCCCAGAACCCCAGGGCGAGGCCCTAGTAGGGACAGCCCAGGATAGTGGGTGGGACACTGCCAGGGGGAGGGGCAGCTTCGCCCCTTTTGAGGTTATTGCGGGGTCCCAGGCCTCCACGGAGGGCAGGGGTTCGTGAGGGGCCAGGGCACGGCTGAGGGACTGCAGATGCCCCCACACTGGGTTCCCTGAGGGGTATGGTGAACCGCAGGTCTGGGAGCCCTCTGGAAGCTGCCTGGCTGGCCTTACTGAGGGGCCGGATGCACCCACACATGAGCCCCCTCCACATACACCTGTCCACAGGCCCCCCACTCATCCTGCATACTCAGTACCAGGGATTTGGGCAATGGGGGCTGGGTAGGCTCAGTCTGGCTTGGAAGCCAATATATTTGCTTGACCCCGACTGACTCGGATGCCAGGAGACCCTCTCCCTGGTGGACACCATCTCACCACCCAAAGCCGAAGTGGCTCTGTGGGCGGGCCAGGGCAGCAGGGGCTGGGTGAGCCCTGGGCCTGGGGAAGGTGGGTGCTGGGCCCACCCTGGGTCTGCACTCCCTCTCCTGTCCTGGGGATGGGTGCAGGGGCAGCTGAGGACCCCAGCCCTGGCCCTGTGTCCACTGAAATCTTAGGACAGCCCCTACCCCCCCTCCGTGTGTGTGTGTGTGTGTGTGTGTGTGTGTGTGTGTGTGTAGTTTCCCTCTCAGAGGCTGTGTGGTTCAAGGAAAGTTGCCCTCCTTCCTGGGTCCGCATCAGCAGGGTTGGGGAGGGAGAGGGGGCAGTGCCTGCACACACATGTATGAGAACACGGAGACATTTGCTACATTGTGCAGGGGGCATGGTCCTCCCCTCCCGCCTCTCCGCAAAGTGGCAGGGCAAGCCAGCAGCCCCTGGCCTGCTCCCTGGCCCTGTGTGCCAGGACCCCAGGGCCCTAAGCCCTTCTTCCTCTGCCCAACTCGGGGAGTCCCTTTCTGTGCCCAGGATGGGGAGGAGGCAGGGGCTGGGGCGAGCCTGCGGGGTGATCTGCCTAGCGTATGGCCGGGTGGCCAGTCAGGATGTCCTAGGATCAGAGACTGTTGGGGAGTTCCAGCCCCCAAGTTCCCTAGTTCCTGGTGGCTGCGAACCCTTGGGGCTGCGCGGGGCGGGGTCCCCCTCTTCTGGGCTAAGACCGTGCCTGCCAGGCCGGGCAAGGGGCCTCACCAGCCCACTGCGGCCAGGGCCGCGGGGCTGGTGGGCCACCGTCCTACTAGTCTACCACTCCCTCCCAGTGAGGGGCGCAGCTCGCTCGGGCTCCCGGCTGTCCAGGGGCCAGCCTCGCGGGCCCCGCCTGGCCTGGCTGCTGCCCGCTGCTCCGGGCCAAGGGCGCGGGCGCAGGCGGTTCAGACGCAGATCTCGATGGCCGTGGCCAGCACCACCTGCCCCTTGCTCTTGTCCGGGCGGCCGTCCGTCCTGCCCGGAGGCCCTGGGGGCGCCAGGCCG